ATTAAACGTTCAATCATTTGACCAATAAAAGGAAATGAAAAATGATCTTTTTGAGTTAAATAATTTAGCTTTCTATAGTCAATACAAACCCTCCATCCATTTTGAACTCGTGTAGGAACTAGCTCGCCTTCAGAATTTTCAACTATGGTCGCTCTAGTTTTCTTAGGAACCACATGGACCAGACTTATCCAATTACTATATGATATCGAGTAGATGATGTCGGTGTCTAAAAGCTTTTGATTTTCTTTCTTTACCACCTCCATCATTGAATGATTAAGACGTTTTTGACCTTCTCGGGATAGTTTTGCGTCATCTTCAATCTTGATCTTGTGCATGCAAGATGATGGACTAAGTCCTTTGATGTCGGCTATAGTATATCCAATCACTTCCTTGTAGGCCCTCAAAACTTTCACTAAGTTCTTTTTCTTATCTTTTTAAATCTTATTTGAGATAATGACTGGGAGGATAATGTTATCTCATAGGAATACGTATTTGAGATGGTCTGATAACTGCTTCAGCTCGATTTCTGGTACCTATATAATAGAAGGTAAAAGTTTAGACTTAGATTGAGTTAGGCGTAAATCAAAATAAATAGAAAAAATATTTTTCAACTCCATGATATCTTCTTCGTAATTCTCTAACTCCCTGCATAAATCATTGGATAAGTTAGTTTCAATAAAAGCATTCACCAAAGGCTCAATATCATTAACGAAATTAATGTTTGCAATATTATTGGATATTTCATCGCCTTGTAAATGTCGAACTTAACAACTTCACCATCGAAATTCATAATAAGAATTTTACTCTTTAACGTCAATTTTGGTATGTGCAGTACTTAAGAATAGTTGACAAAGAAGGATTTTAGAGGAAGTGTTGGTTCGGTCATTCCATGTCGATGACATATAAATCCACTGGGAAAATTAAATCATTTACCTTATCCAGTACATTCTTAAGGAGGCCTTTGGGATAAATGATGGATCAATCACCGAGTTGAATATACTCTAGTTTCATTCAAAGGCTCAGCAGAAAATGAGTTATGAACAGAAATAGACATAACATTTATAGAAGCACCCAAATCACACATAGCTCTTTTAATTCCTACCTTACCGATTTTACAAGGAATAACGAACATACCTTGGTCTTTTAATTTAGGTGGAAGCCTATGTTGAAAAATAACTAATACGTTCTCACCTAAATTTACCTTTTCAATGCCAGTAAGTCTCCTTTTGGTTGTGTAAAGATCTTTCAAAAATCTGGCATATCTCGATACTTTTCGGATTACCTCAAGAAGTGGTATATTTATCTCCACGTTTCTGAAAAACATCAATACTCTCTTTCTTCTCAGCTTGTTTATCACGTTTAACTAACCTTAAAGGAAATGAAGGTGGGATGACATAGGGAGATGGCGCAGAAGAGGTTGATGATACATATTTTCTTTTATGATCTTTTTTCTTCTTCTTTTTTCTCCCCTATGTCAACTTTTTTTATGGGAGGGAGCCTGTGATAACATCTTCTTTTTCTTAGGACCTTGTGACATCATCTTTAGGGATTGGTGTAAGAATAGTGCCATTCCGAAGGGTGATGACACTAATTTTTTTCTCGTGGATTTACTTCGGTTTGAGATGATAGTCTTCCCTGCGATTCCATTCATCCCATGGTCTGGGCCAGTTGAGTCATTCGCTTATCTAAATCTTATAGATGTACTTTGGTTCGGTTTTGAAACTTCTTTTAAAATAGTGTCAACTGCTCAATAGTGAACTCCAATGATGATGTCGGTGGTTGATAAGATTGATGTGATGGTGGCCTTGGTTGATACAGCTGATTTGGTCTAGGATTTTGTGCATAGCTAAAGTTCGGATGATCCCTCCACCCTGGATTATATGTATTTGTGTGAGGATTGTAATGTATCTAGGTAGGTCATGGGAAATTTCCAACCATATTTACTTATGCGGTAGAGTCTTCTAGTAACATTAGACAACAATATGTGGATGGTCTGGCCTTGTGCATATTCAGTATAGTCTAGTGGTACATGTTTTGCCTACAACAAGAGATTGAACAATATCAACCAACATATCAATTTTATTTTCCAATAAAATTGCACTTACCTCGTGAACCCAATAAGTAGGTTCACTAAAAGAGCCAAATTGTTGAGAATTAGCGGATATGGATGAAATTAGATTTATGGCAGCATGCAGAGTCATATTCATAAGTGCTCCTCCACTAGCTACGTCAATTATCTTCATCTTCAAAGGAAGTAGTCATTCACAAAAATATTGGAGAAGGGTCTGTTCAGTTAACCTGTGCTGTGGACAGCTTGCACAAAGTTTTTTGAACCGTTTCCTGTAGTCATATAACGACTCTCCATCCTTTTGTTGGATTCCTAAGATACTTCGCCTTAATTCACTCGCCTTTTCCACATGAAAGAACCAGTCAAGAAAAAGATGATTCAAATAAGCCTAAGTAGTAACAGAATTAGGAGGTAAGTAAAATAACCAATCCTTAGCCAATCGACCAAGGAAAAATGAAAAGCACGAAGTTTAATTTGATCATTGGATACTCCCTGGGTTTCATGTTAGAGTAAACCATATGAAATTCAGTAAGGTGTTTGTGAGGATTTTCACTCAAAAATCCTTGGAAAGTAGGTAGAAGATGGATCAAGTCGGTCTTGTGTTCGAATGGTGTTTCTCCATTCGGAATACGATGCATAATGGTTGTTGTTCGGAAGGTGTCGTGACTAATTCACGAATTGTCAGATCAACCATAGTCTTCGAGCGTATGGTTCGATCTCAAGTTCAAATATTACTAGTTCACTCTAATTTTTTCAGGTTATAAATCAAAACAAACAATATCAGTAATTTTGCCAAAGTTTCCGACAACGGTGTCAATTTGACAAGCATAGTAATTGTTAAATAAATAAACCTAATACTCAATTTAAATAAATGAAATAAAATAAAAGAATATTATATAGAAATAGGGTCGATCCATATGGACTAAAATATTTCCAATTAAATCTGATTTGATCTCTAACCATAAAATCTGTAAAATAAAATAAAAAGGGAGTTTATCGAATTTAATTGAATAAACAAAAAATAAATAAAAATAACAAAGAAATAAAAATAAATAATTGAAAGAGATAATGATAGGAGATAGCCTCTAGCTTCGCTTTGACTCGACTAGTCTATATCCTTGAAATAGATTTTATTTCGAAATCCTACTAGTTACAGTCTAAAAGGCCAAACCCTTGTAACTTGCTCTTCTCTAATGTGAATTAATCCCCAAAATCATTTCTTTAAAATTAATCCTTGTTTGGATTTAACTTTGACTATCGATGTCAACGCCAATATCTTCTTTAATGTTGGAAAAACTCGTGCTCGGATTATGCGTATAAATGAGAATCGAACTCGATCTTGATTTTCCTTAGTGGACCACCACTAAGTTTGTTCTTAGGGATTTGAATTTGCTACAATCCGATTCTTCTCCCCAACGGTAAATCAAAACAACATTCAAGCCAAAGTGCATTCTATGAATTGAAAGTGTAAATAATTTAAAGATTAAGTTGATTACCTCACCTTGTTTAACAAAAATCAAGAAAGATACCTGAAGGTATGAAGCGCTTTTCAATTCTCACGAAATGAATTGAGTCGTTACTCAACTATCGGCAAAAAGAGGTTTAGCCAAGCATGAATTAGATCATGCTTAACATTGTGAAAAGTAAATAGATGAAAGAAAAGTAAAAAGATGGAAAGAAAAGTAGAACTTCAATAAATAGCGGTAATATAAATTTCAATCTGAGTTCAAAGGTTGAACCTTAGGGGATTTATAACTTAAAAGTTCTAAGTAAATAAAATGACTAATTCCTAATCAAACTAAACATCCTACCAAGAGTTCTAATAAAATAATTAATTCCTAAATAAAATAATAATCAAATTAAAAATTCTAAATAAAAATGTTTATCGCAAAAAATAAAAGTAAATATTTAAGTCTTGTACTTGGTTGAATTCTGTTTTATCTTATGGGTAACCTTATGCGAGGTAAATTCTAATTAAATATTCAATATACTAATTGAACCATCGAAATCTGCTACTTTTTGGGTTAATTAATCCAATAAAACTATTGTCCAAAATAAAGATAAATCAATAATATCCGATCGAAAAATTAGTAAATAATAATAAATATATGCAATATAAAACACCATAAAAATTCAATGGTAGAATTCTACCTAGCCACCAATACCAAATTTAAGTATTTTTTTTTTAATTTTAACTTGGTACGTCAAAACAATTCCCCAATGTTGGTGCCATGCCATTCACGAAATTGTAGGGTTGTTTGAGAATTTTGGGTTAACTTTAGTCTCAATAGTATATTGCTTTTCTCCCCCTTTGGTGGCCCAGGATTTCGCTCTTCACCTAACCTAACCATCCAAGAAGAAAACCATGGCCCGTGATTTTGTTGAACAGGTTTTAGCCTCGTTATTTCTTCTCCTTTACAATCATGGGTTTATCTTGTTTTCAAACATGTTGGTACAGCACTATGGAGACAGTTCTTCCATCAATGTCATGAGAAAAATCATGAATCAAAATATTAAATAAATTGCTTCAACCAGTTGAATAAATAACTAAAAATGGATCTGATATTTATAAAATAATTATGGGATTTCTTAAAGAAGATAGCCAAGTGGGGACCTCCATTTTCCAAAGTGGATCAAACTTATCATACCAAGAGAAACTGTATTGTCAAGCAAAGCAAATCCCTCTCCAGAAATCACTATCCCCCACCCACCAGCCAATCTTTAAAAAAAACTTCGTCTATATTGTTTTATATTTAATTATTTTACTTAAGTAAGGTTTTACTTGATTCAAAAGCTTATATTTATGATTTTTTATAGTTAAATTTAAATATTAAATTGAATAGACTTAAATTTTAAACTGTTGAACTTATTCAAGATGGCCTGTGCCTGTAGCTTGGACAAGTGTATGCATGATAAAACAGGCAAAATAAGCAGAGCATCATCATCAACATTTTTTCTTCTCTTCTTCCCTGTTGATTTCCACCTACCACCCTACTGGACTTGCGAAAAATCAAAGCTTCTCTCAACCTTTCTAAGTGCTCTTCTCTCCTACCTTTTCCCTCCATGCTTCTCCTGGAATTCGTGGATTACTTTTTACCAACACTTGAACCTAACATGATATACAGCCGCTAACTGTAGCTTCCATTGCATTCCTGTCCTCATCTCTTTACTTACTCTGGTTCTTTTTCCAGTTACCTCTGAGATTCATTTGTTCTATCAGCAACTTCCTGAATACTCCAAAGTTCAAAGGGAAGATATAGCCTGTTTTCATCATTTTTACCTGTTTTCCCCCTCTGCACCAAACCCCGTTTTCCTTGTGTTATTTCCTACTTGCCAGATCTTTGTTGGCAATCAGCATCGAGCAAATCACATTTCTAGTCATGGATTCTTTCAGTACATCATCCGGTTTCCGTTTCAACCCAAATTCAAACACCATTGATGACACTGATCGAGATTCCGGGTTCTCGGGCATTCTCGAAATCTTTGTTCATCATGCAAGGAATATTCATAACATTTGTATCTACGACAAGCAAGATGTTTATGCCAAGTTCTCTCTCACCTATAACCCTGACGATATCCACTCAACCAGGATCATCGTTGGAGGTGGAAAGAATCCCGAATTCAACGAGAACCTGATTATGAAAGTCACTCAGATCGACGCTGTCCTCAAATGCGAGATTTGGATGCTTAGTAGGGCCAGAAACTACTTGGAAGACCAGCTTTTGGGCTTTGCTTTGGTCCCGATTTCACAAGTTATCGGCAAAGGAAAAATCACACAAGATTATAGCTTGTCTTCCACTGATCTTTTCCATTCTCCAGCAGGAACTGTCAAATTGAGTCTTTCTTTGAAGACATCAATGGCTCTCAATTGTCAGTCAACGACAACCAACTCTTCGATATCGGCAGAAGTTGTATTACTTGACCGGAAAGGATCCGAATCCCAAGTTATTTTAGACCCAGTTGAGTATTCCAGGATAGAATTTACCGACATCAATATTGTTAGGGAGAATAAGCAAATGGTTTCACAGTACTTCGATGGTTTGGATTCAAGGCCAGGAATTGGTTCATTCCTTCAACTCGGTGCCTCTCATCAGCATGCCATAGATTACGAAATGACGGTAAATTCATCTGAAGAAATCCATGGAGGATCCGTTTCTCCCAACCGAAGCCTACAAAATTCTGGGTTTTTGAGTTCAACAACAACAAGCCTAAGCGATGATCGCAACACAGCTGACTCGAATGAAAAGAAGAGTCGTCTCGGTGGGGAGCCATCGAATTCTCTCAATGCATCTGCCACAATTGAGGCTAATCCCAGCCCTGGCGGTTGTCCCGATACCCCTACTTCGAAGAAAGGAAGTGAAGTTGGAGACGAGAAAGAGCCGAATTATTCCAGCAAAGAAGTGTTTTCAGCTCCACTGGGGAACATCAATTTGGAGGCAGAACAATCGGCAATGCAGCAACAGATAGTAGACATGTACATGAGGAGCATGCAACAGTTTACTGAGTCTTTGGCTAAGATGAAGCTTCCCATGGATCTTGACAAGCCTGTACATGAACATCGTGGTGATTTGATTCAAAACAATAGCAAGAAAATAGAGCATGACAAGAAGAAAGATGGGTCCAGGGTTTTTTATGGTAGTCGGGCATTCTTTTGAACCACATATTTCTGCAACTTTTAGCACACATGAAAAAACCGAGAACTACTAGTTTTGACATCCTCGGTGAAGAGTCTAGTTTTCTCTGTAATTCACTTGTTGATCCTTGAATTGACTTAAATGTTGAGTTTTGTAATTTATAAATTGTATCATCAGGTGAATAACCGATGAATTTGTCTGCAGTTCAGTTGTTTAAATACATATAGTAGCATTTTCATAAGTATATTAAATAATATATTAATTACCAACAACAAGTTGATTTGATAAGTATATTTATCCAATTTAACTTGAATCTATTTTCTTTAAAATAATTTTATTAAAATTGTTTTTATAAATAATGTTGTGAAGAAGTAATGATTTGGTTTGATTTATTTTGTAGAAATAATGATTACATTGATTTAGTGGCATGATTGTGGAAATATTTTTATAATTTTGGCTTAAGATAAAATCAAAGTGCTTAGGAGCACCGGCATTCACTTTTTATACGATTTATGCGTATTATGATTTGAATGATAAAAAAAATAGTGCAATATAATATCTTCCAATTAAATCTCTTTGTGATTCTCTTCTTCTTTCCTATAGAGTAATTAAGAAGAAAATAAAGAGTGAAAGTTGTTTGAAAAAGCAGATAAAAACAAAATAGAGATGCGATTAGAGTACGACGATACTTTGGGGGGAAGGAAAGAACGAACACTGTTCCCCAAAGTGACGATCAATGTGTTGAAAAAATGCACCCACTAAAATTCTTCTGCTGCTGTGGGACACTTGAATTCACCCACTCCCACAACCATCCTTGATATTTCAAATACAAATACGAATACCACATTTGAAAATATGATCAAATGATAGTTTTAAATATGATATGATACATCTTGACTTTAAATACATGATTAAATATATCATACTTTTATTATAATTTCATATTTTTAAAATAAATAAATAATGTATATCCATACAAGTATAATTAGTTTAATCAATGCAATATATAAAACATACTTATAACACGTCATATCAAAGGAAATCCGTCTTACAGATTTGTTTTATCTGTTGAAGAATTTGGAACCCAATGGGTCAACATGCCATCAATTTCATTTATTTATTGTACCAATGATGTTTTAACACATCATTACCCAATTTATTATCATGATCATAATTTTGGAGGTCATGTGAAATTCCTTCATACCTACCAAGGTAAGTGGGGCTCATCTTAGGCTTTCCATTTCGTATACACTTCTTTTACCTAACACTAAGCTTCATTTTGTTCATGTACGAATAACATAGAACGATAATATCTATTATTGATAGTAGGAATTGAATGATATTAATGATTAAATAATCATTGTTTTCGGGTTCAAAATCCATAATTTGGTTCTAGTTTAGAATTTGAAACCTTTGCAAATGATTTTTTTATCACCATACTAATTACGGTATTAGAATTCTTAAAAAGGTTTTATTTTTAGAGAAATATGTTGGGCTTCGGAGAGCTATCAATATATTGTGAAAATCATAGTTTGGCCCAACCTTTCTTTAAATACAAAGCACAAGGATGCTTTTGGGTTCTAGTTGCTAGGATAGGATGGGTATTAAGACCCTGTACGAGGTAGGCTTGGCTTGTCAGGTTGGGATAGCTTTTGTCCCTTTATCGGTCTTCCTTTTTTGTTTTTAGTTTATTACAAACGTTTTACTTTCAACAAAAACAAATATAAGAATAAAATAAACATATACTTTTTTTTATTAATTTAGTACATGATTATAGGATGATATTTATTCGAAAGATTTTTAATTATTTGACAACGAATGTTCAAACATTCTTATATATATCGTGCTTAGATTTATGATTTTAAAAAATAACAATTATCTCTTTAATTACTTAATAACTTGATTTGTGTAAAATAAATATATACTATAAGAGCGGTAAAAGGGGTACTGTATAAACGGCAATCTGTGCTAAATATGGAGAATTCTCAGTCAACAGAGGGCAAGAGAGGCAATTGGCTTGGCCAGCGAATTCGACAGTGGAATGAGGAGTTGCCGGGCAATGTAGGTTGCGGATGTCGACCCGGAAGAACGGATAAAACTAATTTAAGTTATATAGACTATATTGGAATAAAACTATGATGTTTTGATATATAATTAGGTAAACTATATGTATGGCCACTCCATTATTGTTTCTTTTCATTTTAACATCAATTTTAAAATTTTGTCAATCAGACGATTTACCTATTTAATTATGTTAATCAAGTCACAAACCGTTAACATTTTGATGAAAATGATGATAAGCCAACTAACTAAAATGTCATAATTATACATTTGGTCCATATTACTTATATATTCTACTAATCTAGTCATAGTTCAATTTAAATTAATAAATTTAGTCTCCAATCAGATTATAATACATCAGACAACATAATTAGATGAAAATTAAATGAAGATAAAAAAAGCAGCAGGCGAGGGAGAGGGATTCAAACCCAAACCTTGTATATGTGAATCAATGCCTTAATCACTAAGCTACACCACATAATTGATTCTAAATTGCAACATTTTGAATATAATATATTGTAACACCCCAATTTAGGGACTAAATTTTAGAAAATTTAAAGTATTGAATTTAATTGTTATTTTGGAAGAAATTGAGGATTTAATTATAAAATCGTAAAGTTGGCAGACCATTTTAGGAAGTGCAGAAATTCAGGGATCTAGTCATGAATTTACCCATTTTTCTTATGTGTTGAAAAATAAACTCCACTCTCTCGTATGTTTTCCCAAAATGCTTCCACATTTCCTCTCCCCCGTCAACTCCTTTGACTCTGATTTCTCCACCGTCCGGCCACCATTCGTCGATCTGAAACCACCAGTGTAATCGTTGTTGACCGGTGAACAAAACCTATCAAACCTCTCGTTGTGAATCGTCGTCGTTCGCCGTAAAATTCAACTCAAAGTTTCAAAGTTTTTAAACTCCACAGCTGTGAAAATTATCGATTCGTCATCGATCGTTGCTCTGTTTTCGACACCTCTTGTACCATTGTGTTCCTTGTATCGTTCCGAGTCCACTGGTGTCCTTCTTGTCTCTGTCGTCGCCGGCGCATGAAGGGGTGAGAAATATCAAGTTTCCGACGTTTCGAAATTGAGATCTTCGTCATTCAAAATTATGAACTGAGCTTGGTAAATGTCTTAAAATCCCTTAAAATAATTTTAGAAAATTTTATGGAATTTTTTCGACCTTCTAGGCCTCCCCACGTGCCGCCACATGCCACCCCCTACGAGTGGGCTTCGTCTGGCAGCCTGGGGAGTGTGTTGACCGGTCTGGACTAAGCCACCGAGCTGAGCGAGCCGTTTGGACCGTTGACTTTGACCAAAATTTCAAAATTTCCAAAAAGTCATATTTTATGTTTTTCGACGTCCTGAGTCCGATTACGAAGTCCGTTTCGCCAAATTCGAAGCCGGTAAGATGTTTTTCACTGATTAATCACCCAATTCGATCCGTTTTTCGCAATTAAGCTCCGTTTTTTATGAAATTTCTGTTGATATGTATTTGAGGAATTATTGGAACGTTGAATTCAAGTTTGACGGCGATCTAATAGAGTTTAAATGGTCGATCGGTATGGCATGGAAATTGAGGTAATACATTACTACCTTTTCATGCTTTATGGGACATGTTGGTATTGATAAATGCATGAATGGAAATGTTTGGTCTCATCTGTGAAGTTAATTAATTTTTACACTCGATCCAAATTCGCTAACTGAATATGGCTCAGATGATTAATATAAGAAACTAGAGGACCATTAGAATTAAAATACAAGTTCTGTGATTAAGTGATAAAGCAATCAACCTTGGATATGTAAATTATAATTTATATCATTAAAGGTTAAATGCCAAAGGTGCTTGGATGAGAAATTAAGAGAATACTTCGGTTAGGTGAAATTACGAAAATACCCTTATGTTGTAAAAAGACAAGAATTGACCTTGGAAGTTGGATAAAAACTTTGTAAAGACATATTGAGTTGATGAAACTACTGATGTGCATAGAAAATACTATTTTTGTTTAAAAAATCTAGATAATCGATTTCTAAACCCAAGATAGCTTGTACAAGATACTAAAAGTTTGAATTAAATAATAAGATCGGACAGAAGGAAATGATTGAAATACATTGGATCTATAAAATGACCAAAATACCCCTAGAATGGAAATGACCCAAGAATATCACCAAGCCCAGAATGAATGGATATCCTCAAGCTTTGAAATGACTGGAATAACATCGATCATAAAATGACCAAAATACCCTTATCCTAGACTAAGTAAATGTCTTGGATTAATTAAGGAATCCAAATAAACATAGGTGCTATACTACCCTTAAAAGTTATGGAACACATCTTAAGTGAGTCAATCAACCCTAATGTTATGTCAATATCTGAATTGCATAGATACCACTTTAATCCTTGTTTTTCTCTTCAAGTTTGGGTCGATATTAATTCTGGAAGTACTCACTCAGCTCAGCTCAGCTCAACTCTAGAGCGCATTCGGTACTAAGAAGTGGATATTCTTTAGACAAATCAACCACAAATATCAAATTGAACTTAACGAAAATACAACATGTATCAAAATTCAAAAACTTCAGAATTACTCTAGAAAACTCTAAAGTAACCGGGATAGACTTGACTACTAAGTGAACTAAGTAAACTCAATGACTAAGGATTAAATAAGTGATTTGGATGAGTCTGGGAATGTTAATGAACATACATGATGCACTGTCCTTATGAGTCATGAACTACAAATCAAGCACTTCAGCATTTCATGATATCGTGGAAGCGTGGAAATGAAATAAAGACCATTGGAAGATCTATTCAACTATGATTTCGAAGATGATCTATAGATAGAATTTTTTGTATTAAAGAGTAAATACCCTGGAAGGACAATGAATTGTCCAGTCGACAAGCATTAGTGCTGGGAACTATTTATCTCGAGTTGTTCGATAATCCGATCAATCGACATAGATTGTAAAGGTCCTGAATCTTCGTTCTTCCTTATCAGCTCAAATCACTCTGGTCATATCTGAAAACACAAGTAACTCAGATGTAAATGATTCTGAATACCCTTCTGATTATGTAGAGTTTTTGAAAAATGTTCGAATAAGATATGATCATGATAAATCACATTCTAAATAACTGATGATTCCGTCAGTT